CCTAAAGCCTAAACCCTAAACCCTGAAGCCTAAACCCTAAACCCTGAATCCTAAACTCTAAACCCTAAACCCTGAATCCTAAACCCTAAAAACCCTAAACCCTAAACCCTAAACCCTGAATCCTAAAGCCTAAACTCCCTAAACCCTCAACCCCAAGCCTGGCCTGCAAGTCGAGTCTTCTGAGGGTCGAGTTGCCCCGCAGGGAAGCCGAGAGATCAGCTAAGTTCGCCTCCGATGTTCGGCTTTTTCTACGGTTGGGGTTTAAGGGTAGGGTTTAGGGTTTTGGGGTTTTCTTTTTTGGGTTTAGGGTTTAAGGCTTAAGGCTTCATGAGTTAAGGCCTTTCCGGGTTGTGGTTGGGAGACGTCTGAAAGTTGGAGCAGTGTTATCCTCATGCCCTTTAAGGCATGAAGCGTTCGGGATCCTTCCACTACTCACTCATCCTTAGCCCATTGTTCCAACTTCTTTTTGGGGGGGTTCGCTGCAGTGTTCTATCAGGGTCTTCTAGGGTTTCATATCAAGCTTTCAAGTGTATGCGTAAGGGTTTAAACATGCTTTACAAAGCCGAAAGTTTGACCTCCGGGTGCTTCTTCCTGGACTCGGCTTCGGGGTTTCCGGATGCAGAGCTCCTATGCCTATGCGGATTCCTGCGGACTTAGAGCTTCGCACTTTGGGGGCTTAGGGTTTTGGGTTTTGGGTTGAGGGTTTAGAGTTGAGGGTGCTGAGTCGCATAGTCAGAGGCGAGGCACATTCCCAGCTGCCTGCATCCCAGCCTTGGGGACTAGAAAGCCCCAAAACCGAATCCCAAAGAACCTCAAACCCAAGACCCCAAACCCTAAACCCTGAACCCCAGCCTCAACCCGAAACCCCTATAACCTGAACCCAGACCCGAAATCCTAATTAAATCGCGAACCAACATGGCACCTAAACCCCCAAAGCTACTCGCAGGTTTTACTCCGTGCGCGGATCGCTGTTCCCCACGCCGCCGCTCTCAGAGTCATCTGCGCCTGTTGCGTTCAGGTGCACTTCTAATGTTGCATACAATAATGCAACATACATAAACCATATACAATGGAATTATACTATCATACAACAGAAACAAACAAAAATCAAGAATTATATATCGTATGTATGTATGTATATATGATTTAGGGTTTGCAAGGCTTTAGGGTTCAAAGGCTGGGGTGTACGCCTTCCGGGTTCGGGCTTCGCATTTCGGATTCGGCTAGGGTTTAGGGTTTAGGGTTCAGGACCTGCTTCTTCTAGAAGGCTTTACAACGGGCCAGAAGGCATTCGCAGATTTATATGGACTTTGAAAACTTCATGACTTCGGGCTTACAAGATTATGGAGCTCAGGGGGATCCAGAAGTGTCTGAACATCTGAGACCCGCTCACAAGAGCTCTGCTATCGAAACGCAATGATATGGGAATCGTAAAAATTCGGGTACCGAATATAGACTCCAAGCAGCATCCACCTTTGCAGGAGCCTTGAACAAGAGACCCTAATTCTTCGAACGCCCCACAAGTGCCATCGGCAACGACAAATTATAAACCACAAGCTTGAAACCCGAACCCAAGCACAACCAAAGCGATGACAGAAACAAGTCGCCAACACTGCATGTGCTGCACCGGTTCAGCTACGGCTTGAGCCCCGAAACCATAAGCCGCAATCCGAACCCCGAAACCCCCGCCCCCAAACCCTGAAGCCCAAACTCCAAACCCTAACCCGCAAACCCCAGACCCAAACCCCAAAACCCAAGCCCAAGAAAGAGCTCAAGTCCCTAGTTAACCGTGAGCCCAAACCCAAACCCAACACTCCGAACCCCTAACTCCGAACTCAAGACGTCTGAATAATTAGCAATCGTATGCCCTTCTACTAGTATAGGGAGCCTAGACGATTATTTTGCGCCTCCAACCCCGGTCTTAATCCCTGGACAAACCCTTATAACCCTAAACCCTTAATTAAACCCTCAACCCTAAACCTTAGACCCTAAACCCTAAACCCTTAAACCCTAAACCGCTTAAACCCTAGACCCCTCGCCCCTCCTTCGGCTTCTGCTTCGGCTTCGGGAGCGTCGCCGCTCGCCTCGCGCAGGAGATTCGAGTTACGGAAGGGCAGCGAAACCCCGAAGCTCCGGGTTTACAAAGTTTGGAAGGCTTGTGGTTTATAGGGTTTAGGGTTTAGCGGGGTTATAGAGTTTGGAAGGTTTAGGGTTTAGGGCTTAGGGTTTAGGGGGGGTTATAAGGTTGTAGAGAGGGATTTGTAGGGGGTTTTATAAGGTTGCCTAGGGATGTATGAAGGTGTTCGCGGGGTTTGCAAGGGTGTTATTATGTTCTAATTGGGATTCATAGAACTGCCTCGACTCTCGACCAGCTCCACGTTCTTTGCCTCAGCTGCGGTGTAAGACTCTTCAGGTTCAGGAAGTCGGGCGGCACGCAACGTGCCTCCAGCTTGCGTCGGGATCCATCCGGCTCCTGCATGGCGAGCCCTAAACCCTAAACTCTAAATCCTGAACCCAAAGCCCTGCACCCTGATGAACCCTTATACCTTAACCCTGAACCCTACACCTTAATCCCTGGCCCTGAACCCGAAACCCTAAACTCCCGGAGAAGAAACAGGAAGGAGGCTGCACCAACCCGAGTCTTGCAGAAGCCTCGAGGCTCTTCGACAGCTTCATCTACCGAGGCGGTTGCAATTTAGTAGCAATGGCGGGCCCCGGTTCTGTGTGTGCTGAACCCACGCATTTGACTGGGGTTCTAATGTCTGAGACATCGCACATTCGATTGTCTAGGCTCTGAGTCGTGGAAGCTTTGACTTTCTCGCTTTCGGGCTCAGGCTGTCAGTTGTTGTGGAACTCAAAACAACGGCTGGCGCGCCCCTCCCCTAAACCCTAAACCCTAAAACCCCTAAACCCTAAACTCAAGTTCTACTTGTGGCGTTCAAGATCACAGGCTCTGGAGCTTCATCGCAACGAGGCCAGTCCAAATGCGACTACGAGACCTGCGGTGCTAAATGCGTAGTCAAGTTGCAGCGGTTTCACAAATATATATATATATATATGCATATATATGTCTATGTTTGAAGTCCTGCCACTGCAAAGCCTGTGCAAAGCAAAGATCGAAAAAACAAACCTGGGTGCGTGTCCTGGTTGTTGGACTGTCGCTCGCATGTACGAAGCAGAAGCTTCAGAGTTACATGGGTTGGGTTTCACGGCTTTCGCTGTGGTTCTCAGGTTGTTTTCACGGTGCTCTCACGCTGTTCTCGTGCCTACTGTTTTGCACATTTAACGCGAGTCTTGAAGAGTGTTTTCGGTTGCGTGCGCAGGCTTGCAGGTATCGTGGAAACCCGAAAGTACCTGAAGCGAAAGATAAAGCAAAGTCGTCCAAACCCCAAAGACCCGAACCCCGGGCCATCCTTCAGATCGAATCGGACGTGATCTCCGCCTGAGCCACCACCAGCTTCAAGGCACACATCGGGGCACAGGGCTTAGGGTAAAGATGCTGATGGTCCGTCACGATTCCAACACATCAATTGTGGTTGAATAGCACAAGAAGCCTTGCTGGCTCATTCGATGGCAGTGCATGGCGAAACAATATAGCTCGCCGGACGTACCATCATGCAGCACTAACTCTAGTTCTGTAACTGATCCACATTAAGAATCATTAGAGAGGCGTGACAGCGAGCCGTCCATCTGCGCAACGAGGACTGGACGCTTGAGGCCGTTCTTCTTGACACGGTCGCGGACCTGGCAAAATGCGGGAAGACCCAACGGCTCTGCGTGCAGATGGCACACGTCCCAAAATCCCAACATGCCGTGCTGGCATCCACATCTCTGAAGCCTTCGGCGTGCAAGAACACGTCTGAGCCTTAGCCGTAGCCCGCAAAAGGGCGCCTCTGCCAAGAGGAGTCAGCAGCTGCACAGCTGAAGTTGGATCCCTCCTGATCCCTTCCTAAGAAGCACTCCTCCGCCTCCTCCTCCTGCTACTACTGCTGCTACTACTACTACTACTACTACTGCTACTACTACTGCTACTACTACTACTCTACTCTACTCTACGCTTCTCGACTCTCTACTCTACTCTACTCTTCAAAGAAATTGGAGTTTCTGGGAATCGCATCACTCGGGGCCCCACGGTTGCCATCGCAAGAAATGAAGCCAAACTGCCGCTCCACATTCCAGCTGTTCACGGTACCACTCTCCTGGCGTCGGACACTCAGGCGACAGGCTGTTCAAGGGGATGTATGACCGTCAAATCGTTCAGGTATCTATGCTTCCGACGATCGTCCATCTTTGTGTCTGCATCCCCTTACGGTATGTGCTTCTCTTGAGAAATGCAGAATCGTCTCGAAACTGCACCTAATGGTCAAGCACCGGAAGCTTCAACTGCTATCCTACATTCAGATGACGCTGCGCTACACCCCTGAGGCCCTAAGGTTCCGCTGGGGGGCTGGGAGCTTCGGCTTTCGGACCCTGGCCTGCGCAGAAGGAGCAGCCGCCTCCTTCACCCTAGACCCTGGACCCTAGACTTACAAACCAAACACATGAACCCCCGTTGTCCTGAAATGATGCAAGCCCCGATGTAAACCCATGAACCCTAAACCCTAAACCCCTCAACCCATAAACCCACAAACCCTAAACCCTGCCTAAACCCCTAAAACCCCCAACAGAACTCCCCGCCTTCGGCTTCCGGGGCAGGCTGGGGCTCGAGCCTCCACTCCCTTGGATGCTTGGGGCTAAGGGCGAATCTTGGTGGAGAAGATTGTGAATAGTACATTATAGTAGTATATAGTATATTACAGTACGGCAAACCCCAGCAGGTAGGGTTTGTTCACTCTACCAGCTGATAGATGTTGTCTTTTTGAGCTTTGTTTGACAGATAGATTTTCTGAGCAGTGCAGATAGAATATTTTTTCCCATCGGGCGGTGCAGATAGAACGTTTCTTCCACCGGGCGGTGCAGACAGATTTTTTCCACACTAACTCATATCTCTAAAACCCTTATAGACACGGCGTGCACTTTCAGCCCCATGCAGTTAGGTAGGCAGGTTAAAAACGGTGTGAGGTTTCAGAGAATCGACGAGGTTTAAGGCTGAAATGCTTAAAGTGTCATGAGGGGTACACCTCAAGTAACACTAAACCCTGAACCCGACATCGTAAACCCCAAGCCCTGAATCCTCTACCAAAAACCCTCAACCGTAAAGCAAAAAGGCGCAAAACATGCATCCTAATCCCAAAGGCCTCTGAATACATCTGAGTGCCCTATAGCAGCCTGCCCCCTACATGGCCCTAAACTGGGCTCTTGTGGAGGAATTCCAATCTAAGTTGCCATCATATTGTGATCGATAGTAGCTATAATATGGCTTCTTTATTATGGTACACCTTAAGCTAAAGCCCTTAACAGGAACCCAGCAAGCCGAACTGACGTATCTGAGATCCGAACCTCGGCTCCTGCTGTCGGAACGCCGCCCCATCGACCTTTGGGAAAGATTTGAGCCTAGGCCTGGGATACTACGTTACAATATGTCATAGATTTTCATAGTATGTTATAGGATTATGATAGTATAGTATAGAAGGGCCTAGTATCTCAGACTCTTGTCAGGGAGTCGGGGCTTTCAAGCGAAAGCCGAAGTCATAAACCTTTGAGTCGTGGGCCCTGAACGTTATCAGCTTTGCTTTGGGGCTGCACATGGAGCACAGGATACAGGTGTCGGGATGAGGACGGCGGCAAGGGGGAAGAAGATGGCGATGGCATGTCCACCACCATGATCTAACGACAGCATCTTTCTACTAAGACTCTCGCAGATCAACCTGCTGAACACACCCAGCTTTGATGCAAAGCTCCGCCAAGCATCAACCCCCGCAAAGCTGCTAAACTTCGACTCAACGGCCGTGGCCTGAAAAAGTGAAAATGCCGTTCCTGGGGCTTCCCCAAGACATGTGCATGTGTGCATGTATAGAGATATATGCACTCTTGAAAGAACAGATAAAAGAAAGAGATAGAGACAGAGAGAGCGAGAG